TGGGGACACTCACTGGACTGGGGGACACTCACTGGATGGGGGGACACTCACTGCAAACGGGGGACACTCCCGGGATGGGGGGACACACTCGGGATCAGGGGACACTCACTGGACAGGGGGACACTCACTGGACTGGGGGACACTCACTGGACCAGGGGACACTCACTGGATGGGGGACACTCACTGGATGGGGGACACTCACTGGACCAGGGGACAGTCACTGGGGATTGGGGGACACTCACTGGAGCAGGGGACACTCACTGGAGCAGGGGACACTCACAGGACCAGGGGACACTCACAGGACCAGGGGACACTCAATGGACTGGGGACACTCACTGGACCGGGGGACACTCACTGGATGGGGGACACTCACTGGACAGGGTGACACTCACTGCACAGGGGACACTCCCAGGACAGGGGGACACTCACAGGACCGGGGGACACTCACAGGACCGGGGGACACTCACAGAACCGGGGGACACTCACAGGACAGGGGGACACTCCCAGGACCAGGGGACACCCCCCAGACCGGGGGACACTCACGGGATGGGGGACACTCCCAGGACCGGGTGACACTCACACGACCGGGTGACACTCCCAGGACCGGGTGACACTCACAGGACCGGGTGACACTCACAGGACCGGGTGACACTCCCAGGACAGGGGGACACTCACAGGACCGGGTGACACTCCCAGGACCGGGTGACACTCACAGGACAGGGGGACACTCACAGGACCAGGGGACACTCACAGGACAGGGGGACACTCACAGGACAGGGGGACACTCACTGTGGGGTTGGCACACGGGAAGAACATGCCCAGGCAGAAGAGCCCCAGGAGTGGACCTCCCACCATGCCGAAGATGCTGATGGCGGCCTGCAGGGACAAGGGGGTCACACCTTTGGGGTGCCCCAGTCACAGTTCCCACACCCCATTTGGGGTCTGGAGCCTGAAATCCCACAGCCCCATCCCTACCTGCAGCACGGGTCCCAGCATGGAGGACACGTAGGCCATCCCCAGGCACAGCAGCCCGTAGCCGAGAGCTGGGGAGGGGAGTGGGTGTCAGGGTGGTGCTGGGGTACCCCTGCCATGCCAGCCCCACCCGGGGTACCCCCAAATCATGCCAGCCCCATCTCTGCCCCCCGGSCACACCCCATCTGCTCACCCAGCAGCTTGGAGACGAGCGTGGCCCGCGACTCGGACAGCTCSGGGAAGTGTGGCCGCACCAGATCCTCCATGGTCACCGTGGCCAGCGAGTTGAAGGCAGAGGAGATGGTGCTGGGGAGGAGAGAGAGTGGARCAGGACTCGCCCAGGACACCTGAACCACCACCCCAGGGACACCCACTCACCTGAGGGAACCGCTGAACAGGCAGGCGACAAAGAGCCCGGGCAGCCCCGGCAGGTCCCGCAGCACGTCCATGACAAAGAACAGCACCAGCTGGGGAAGGGACA